CTCTATGCATGTGTGGTCGCCTGATGCACCGTTCTCGGGGCTCAGGCTCAACCGCGAGCCACTGCCAAACCTCCCTCTTCTGTCTTCGGGTAAGCCTGCCCCTGCAAACCCCTGAAGCCTGGCACCCCTGCGGCGCGGCTCTGCTGCTGGCGGGGGCAGAGAGCGCAGCGGCGCAGACAGAAGAGTGTCCTGGAGCTTCAGTTTTGTTTTCCGCCCGGCGAATCAGCTCCGCTTAGTGTGGGGCAGAGCTCTCAGGATGGCAGCCTTCCTCTCTCCCTCTTTCACAAGACGAAGGAAAGAACCTTCCTCTGCTACCATTTGTTGCCTTGCAAAGCCAGACTGGGTGGGTGCCGGCCAACGCGCGAGAGGAGCGGGGGGAGTCGGCCGCCACTTTCCCCTGGGCTCTGCAGGCTCAGTCTCAGCGCAGGGACAGACAGATGGCAGACACGGGACTCGGGTGCATACACGTGTTTATTGTGGGTGCGTGCTTCCCGAGACAACCGGGGCACCGGCAGGGTATCTGATATATCCCCCAAACTGGGGGAGGGGGCGGAAACGGAACCGTGGCCAATGAGGATAAGGCGGGGGTGGGGAAACCTCCCCAAGAAAGCAGGAGACCCCGGGGACGGGGCGGGGATGGGAAAGGCGGGGGGGGGGTGGAGGGAGCAGACCGCGTGGCGAGGGGGAGGGGGAAGGCAGGGTCGCAGCACAAAAGGGCACCGCATGGTGGTGGGGGCTGGGAGGAGAAGGAATGGAGGGGGAAAGAAAAAAAATTACAACTCCCACACTGGTGTGTGCCTCAAATGAGGATATACTTACCCACGTGCTTGACCTAACGACCAGTGCGTTGATTGCTGCAGGGTTTGAGCTCCAGGCAAAGATTCAACAGATGCCACCCTGGAAGTACCTGGGTCTTGAAGTAGGAAAGAAGACCATTGTGCCTCAGAAATTTGCTTTCAAAAATAGTGTCCGTACCTTGGCGGATGTTCAACAACTGTGCGGGTCCTTAAACTGGGTAGGACTGTGGCTGGGTATTACCACCAAAGACCTAGCCCCCTTTTTCAATTTGTTGGAAGGGGGAGAGGGGCCTAGTTCCACCCGGACCCTTACCCAGGAGGCAAGCGCTCTTCTAGAGAAAGTTCAGGAACAGATAACTGCCAGGCAGGCCCACCGCTACCAACCGGGCCTGCCCTTTAGGTTTATCATATTAGGGAAACTGCCACACCTACATGGGGTGATCTTTCAATGGGACCAAAATATCAAGGGAAAGAACCAGGGCAAAAGGGACCCTCTCCTGATCATAGAGTGGGTTTTCCTCAGCCATCACTGGTCCAAAAGAATGACAAAGCCACAAGAACTGGTGGCCGAACTTATCCGCAAAGCACGTATGCGGATCCGGGAGTTAGCAGGATGCGATTTTTACATCATTCATATAACCGTACAATTGAATACGGGCCAAATGACAAAAGCAATGTCAGAGCACCTGCTTCAGGCAAACGAAACACTGCAGTTTGCATTGGACAGCTACGCTGGCCAGATTTCACTCCATCGGACGGCCCACAAAATTTTCAATTTGGACATCCAATTTTCATTATTGTGAAAGAGTGTTTAGAGTAGAACCCCATTTGAAGCTCTGACCATTTTTACAGATGCATCCAGGACATCCCACGAGTCAGTAATGACTTGGAAAGATCCTCAAACTCAGCTGTGGGAGGCAGATGTTGGTGAGGTAGAATGATTGCCTCATGTAGCTGAGTTGGCCGCTGTTGTCAGCGCATTTGAAAAGTTCCCCAAACCATTTAATTTGATTACTGATTCGGCATATGTAGCTGGTGTAGTGTCCTGAGTCGAAGATGCAGTACTGCAGGAGGTATCTAACATTGCACTTTATGAATTGCTCTCCAAATTAGTTGATATTGTCTCCCACCGAGAGCAACCTTTTTATGTAATGCATGTCAGGTTGCACACAGACCTGCCGGGGTTCATCGTGGAGGGCAATCGTCGAGCTGATGCCCTGGCTGCACCAGACCAGATGACCCCACTCCCTGATGTGTTCGAGCAGGCAAACATAAGCCATCAGATGTTCCATCAAAATGCACCCGGCCTTGTACGGCAATTTCACCTGACCCCCGAACAGGCTCAAGCCATTGTGGCAACATGTTTCGCATGTCAACAACATCAAATGCCGGTGCTGAGCACAGGGGCAAACCCCCGAGGATTACACAGTTGTGAGGTGTGGCAGATGGATATCACCAAAGTCCCTTCATTTGGCAGACTCAAAAATATACATGTTTCTGTGGACACCTTCTCTGGCACAGTCTATGCCTCAGCCCACGCAGGGGAGAGGGCACTTGACACAAAAAAACATCTTATACAAGCCTTCTCCACGTTGGGGGTCCCCAAGGTCATTAAGACGGACAACAGACCCGTGTACACATCCAGGGAGTTCCAGAGCTTCCTGCAGCAATGGGGAGTGGGACATAAGACCGGCATCCCCCAATCCCCTATGGGCCAAGCTGTGGTTGAGAGGACCCACCAGAGTCTAAAAAGAATTTTACTTCACCAGCAACAGACAATGAAGGGGGAAGCCCCTCAAATCCATCTTGCCAAGGCGTTGTTTACATTGAACTTTCTAAATTGTGCTTTTGAAATCCTGAATCCCCCCATCATTAGGCACTTTAAAGACAATCACCAGTTGGAGTTGAAAGAAAAACCCCCAGTCCTCATCAAGGACCCGGAGACCTGGATGACACAATGTTCCTACCACCTGGTCACTTGGGGGAGGGGGTACGTCTGGGTATCCACCCCCTCAGGGTTAAAATGGGTCCTGTCTAGATAGGTCCGGCCATACATCCCCAAAGTCACCAAAGAAAACACTGTCCGGCAAGTCCAGGATGTCTGTTGGAGGAGGAGGAGATGCAGGACCAATTCCATTTAAGATACCCCTGTTAATATCTTTTTATTTCATTGCAGCCCAGACCTGATGGCCACACGCTCTATTAAAATGCTAGTTTGGCTTGTCACCGTGCTCTGCATCTTAAAAGAAGGAGACTGGAGACTGGCTTGGGAACATTTTAGTTGGCTAGGGATTCTCAGGATGGGTGAGCTCAATTGTCAAAACAGGACTTCTAGTCTTACTTATTTTTATTCTTATTTTAATTGTTTTTGGTGTCATCCGGCACATGATATCTCAGTTGATAGCCAAGGCAACAGACATCCCAAGCATCAACCATGTTGCAGCTCCATCAGCTTCTGATCTAGAAGATGAAGTTCCACCAGTCCCAGATCCTGAAGATGCATCATGGACTGAAACAGGGCCTATCCGCCAGCCTTGGTTTGCAGGCACCTACCCTGAATCTGAGTTTCTCCCCTGTATGGAGGTTACCCCCGTTTGAAAGACTGAGTTTTCTTACTCGTTCATTTGTATTTGAAAAAGGGGGAGATGTTGTACTGTGTTATTGAGTTTGTTCAGTTTGTTCAGTGGTTTAGTCCTGTACCCCCTGGTAAGTGGTCCTGCCCTCCCTTGCCTACTCCCATCCCTATGTCAATCCTCCTTTCCCTCCTCCACTGAAATGTAACCCTTCTGAGGACCCCACCCCTGGACCTGTCCATCACTCGGCAGCCCTTCCTTTCTTTCTGGAAGGTTCTACCCAGAACATCGAGTGATAGGCCGGACAGCCAGGTCTCCTCCTACCCTCTTTCCCCATTGGTGTTCCCTCATGTATGTCACCCTGATATCCACACCCCTGTTTGATCTCATTGGCCCACGTAGGGCCATCCCCTGGTTACACTCACTGTTATAAGCCTGTGCAAAAGGCTGCTCGAGGCTTTTGCAGGCAGTTTACCCTCCAAGATGGGAAGCTCTTCTGAGCTGCCCAATAAAGTTGGATTACAAACCCCTGCAAGAGACGACTCCTTGCCTTTGTCATTGTTGCCAAGGTCTCCCTGGGGCTCAGGAAATCTGAACCCAAAACTGCTGTCCTTACCTCCCGAGGATTGGGAAGGTGGCCAGTGTTGACCTCGGTGTCCAGCTGAGCTGGGCAAGCATTTTCCAGGACAGACACCGTGGCAGTGGTGGATCAGAGAGAAAAGCCAAAGGTGACAGACTAAACTTGACTGTAGGAGAGGGATGGCTCAGCAGAGGACCTGGGGACCTGTGGTGCCAGCCAGTGACCGGCCACTCGGACACAGCAGGAAGGCCCCAGACTGTCACACTTCAGCTGGGAGGGTATAAAAGCCAAGAGGTTCTTTGTTCAGGGTCCCCCAGAGGCACCAGCTCAAACTGCCACTGTTCCAGCACAATAAAATTGTTTTAAGGATCCAGAGGTCCGACACTCTGCTATGGAGGACATTTCACATTTCCAATCTTTTGGGCACTTAGGACCTTCTAATTTTGCTTTGCACCCAAGAAAAATAAACCCCCAAATGTGCACAAATCACTCCTTTAGCTTTTCCTCCTGTTATTTTAATCTGACTTTTACATTGTTGTCTGCTATCTTGTCCTCATCTTTCCAAAATTCCTGTGCCTATTTAAGTCCAGCCTGGGATGGTGCACACATTTTGTTTAGTTCTGCAGCGATTTATCCCCAGCAATCCTGCTGACCACACCCATTTCAATGTTGCAAAAACCGAACTCTGGGCTGCAGTATGTGAATCACGCTCTGGTGTGTGAGATGGCAGGGCACCAGAGCAGGCACTGAAGAAGGGACGTTCCGTAGGTTGGTGAAGTCACTACCAGAACTCAGTCTAGCTCTCAGAACTCCGGCGCCACACCAGGAGTGGGGAACTGCCTCGCTATGGGCATTTACCAGAGGCAGAACCTTTAGAGCCACTTGCTCTAAGGTGCCAGACACAAGCCACCACAGGGACCGGGCAGAGGAGAGAGGAGGCAGCTCTCCGTCTTGAGGTTCCACAAGAAAGAGTTTATTTCAGGTGAAGAGAGCAGAAACAGAGAGCCCACGGCACTCCTGTGCAAGATACAAGTCAGGGGGTGGATACAAACAGCTCACCAAGAGGGAATCCTCAGGGGAGGAGTGAGGGGATCACATCCAGTGTCTGGAGCCCATTGGGGTAGGAGGGTGGAGAGGATGGGTCACACGGGCCAATGGGGCCTTGAGGAATTGGGGCATCCCAAAAAGGTGTTGCAATCTGGGATTGGCCCGATGGGAAAGTGCCAGGGAAGGTTCGGGGACCAAGGGGCTGGGTTGCTATGACAGGCAGGGAAAGAGCTGGAACAAGGGGCGGGGAATGGCATGGGGGTCAGCTTTGAGGGAGGGTAAAAGCCAGGGGTGAACAAACTCGGGGAGAACATGGGGGTACAACAGAACGAAGCACCTAAGAAGGAAACAGTAAATGAAATTTGTACTGCAACAATCAAGAGCATCTGCAGGGACACAGTCTGACCAGCAATGTCAGCAGGCAAAATAAAGGTTTTGCTGAGCAATGGCCCTTGGATGAAGCAAAATATTTACACTCAGGGCAGTCCATTTGTACAGAAAGGGGGTACACTCTGGGGTACAGCTAAGGCCATGAGGTCCCAGCAGGCTCTGGGGTCGCAGCAGGCTGAGGTCAGAGCAGGCTCTGAGGTCACAGAGGTCCCAGAGCTCCGTGGTTGCAGAGCACCACAACGCCCGAGCAGGCAGTCCTTGAGCACAACTGCTGCGGCAGCAGCGGCGGTGGCAGCAGTGGTGCTGACATTGGGACAGCGGTGTCAGGACAGTGGTGGCAGCAAGAGCGGCGGGACTGGCACAGGGCAAGGCACCATGGCCCTTGCTCTGCGCCTCCTCCTCCTGCTCCTCCTGGCCGTGGCCCTGCCTGCCAGGGCTGCCCAGGCTGCTCCATTGCAAGCGCGGGGAGCAGGTGAGCCGGCAGCCTGGCTCCCCTTTCCCAGGACAGCGCTCCCTGCTCTCCGGGGAAGCGCTGGGGATGGTTTTCCCCTGGGGTTTAGGGAGGGTTTCCTCTGTGGGAGGGAGTGAAATCCCGTGGCCCATGGGCTGCTCCAGCTGCCCTCCCAGGGATGTGGCACAGGGCCTACCAAAGTGTGGAGACTGGCCAAGAGACAGCCCAGAGCTCCCCAGGCCCCTGTGCAGCTTTGGCCTTGTCCTTTCACATCTGGCTCCCATGGCCTTCCCTGAGCCCCTTGCAGTGCCAAGTTCCCACAGACAGAGGGGGATGCCAGCACACAAGGAACTGGTTCTCATCTGTGCTCCCTTCTAGATGAGCATGCTAGGAAGGCTTCTCCAGCAGCTTGGCTCCATGAAGATTTCCAGCCTCTTAAGTCTCGTGCAGGTATACTGATAATGTTCCTAAAAGAATAATCACTGACAACCTGGCAGGAACCAGCTGGCAGAAGCTTCTGTGGCTATTGAGTTGCAGGTGCGTCTGCAGGGAGGACATTTCAGGCTCCTTTCCTGGTTGCTGAACACAAGTCCGTCTCCCATCGCAGGGGTGAGTAGTGTGTCCCCGATGACACCACAGGCTGAGCCATGGTTTTGTGGGATCCATCCATCTGAAATGCAAATACTCCTCTTAAGGTCCTCTGAGAGGGAGGAACAAACCTACAGGAAACAGTAAGGCTCTAGAGACATACAAACACATAGAGAAGATGCTGAGTGATCTGGAGAGACGCCGTGGTGGGTGCATTCCCCTCCCCCTTCCCCTGGGACTCAGCAGCTGGGGGCTTTCCCTGCACATCTGGACAGACCCTGCCTAGCACAGCAGGAAGGGATCCATGGCAGCCTCGCTGCCCCGCTGCTGCTCTCACGGCCTGCAGGGCTGTTTCCCAGCCTGGCCTGGCTGCAGCTTCTCCCCAGCCTCTGCAGGAAGGCATTTGGCACCAGCTGACAGGGAGCCCCAACTGCACCATGGCTCATGCACACCCTGAGATCCCCTGCAATTTCCCAGTCACTGAGCACATCTGGAGGGGCAGATGTTTGGAGGAGGGTGGGCCCTGCAGCAGCCCCAGTAACCTGGTCTTTATCCTGAATCTCATCCATGACTGAGACAAGCTTTGCCTCCTGAAGATGCCACCTTCCTGCTGGGGAACAGCCCAAATGATCCAGCTGTCCCTTTTCCTTTCCCCAGAGATGGAAGGAGAGGCTGTGCTGAAGGCTGAGTTTCCCAGAGGAAGCAGTGGCTCATTGGCAGCCTCTGCTGCAGGAAGGGAGGCGCTGCCAGGCACAGTCACAGGAGGTAATTGCTGTGCCTCTGGGCCTGAGCCCTGCTGAGCCTTGAGCTGCCCTCTCTGCTGCTTGGCAGGGCGGGCTCACAGCATTACCTGAGCCCCTTGCAGTGCTCACTTCCTCATAGAAGGGGGATCCCAGCACACCATGGAACATTTCCCATCTGTGCTCCTTTCTAGATTGGGACCGTGACTTGAAGCGTTTGGAAAGAGTGATAAACCACGGTTTAAGGATCTTGAAGTCTGGTGAAGGTAGGTTATCAGCAACCCTTTCCTAACAGAGAAATCATTGTCCAGAGGAATATTTATGTGTGATTTCCTTTAAGATCCTTTGAAGTTTGATGGATTCTGGAAATCCTGTCCCCCAAATTCCTACTCCTGTGCCCAACAGCAATCCCACAGGAGGATCACTGTCAGTGGGAGGAAGGAGCATTTAGCTGTCCATCTTCCACCCATGTGCAATGCCAGTGTGTCCTTCCGTGTGCTCTGTGCAGCCCCAGAGAAGAGCAGAGAGGGAAGGGCCGGGCCCAGGGCTGTGTCCCGGGGCTGAGCCTTTCTCAGCTCCTTTGCCTGCCCCAGGGAGCCTGAGCTGCTCCTGCTGCTGCTGTCAAGCCCTGGCCCTGTCTGGGGCTGGGTTTAGAGCTGCTGGCAGCTCCAGGGAGTCCTTTCTCCCCTGACTGCCCCACAAGGGGCTCCTTCCATCCCAGTGCGGGGCCAGCACTGGCATGTGGTCCCCCTGCCCCTGCTCCTGAGTGGAAGGCAGAGCTGAGGGAATGCCTTGGAGGGCTCCAATCGCCCAGGGGCACTCACTGCCACTGCAGCCTGAAGGAGAATCTTCAGCAGTGTCCCCGGAGGTGTTCTGTCCTGCCTTTCTTTGCAGCTGAACGTGAGGATGAAGAGGATCTGGATTCCCAACCCATACCCATTACTGAGCCTCTGGGAGATGGTGAGGGTAGGTCAAGGCCTTTCCCCCTGCGAGAGCTGCCAGCTCAGAGCCCAAAGCTCGGCCAGGGGGGCATCGCTGCAGGTGCCAGGACAGAACCACGCACGTGTGTGCCCTCGCCCTGGGCCATCCCCTCACCGCTCCTGGGGCTCAGTGCTGCCCGTGCAGATCTGCAGAGATGACAGAGGCTTCTGTGGCTGTTGAGTTACAGGTGTGGCTGCAGAGAAGACTTTCTCAGGTCCTTTGGTGCATGTTGCTCGCAAGCCCAGCTTCCATCGCAGGGGTGAGTAGTGTGTCCCTGCTGACTCCACAGGCTGAGCACGGGTTTTGTGGTATCCATGCCTGGGAAATGGAAATATTTCTCTTAAGGTCCCCTGAGAGGAAAGAACAAACATATAGGAAGGAGTAAATCCAGGGAGGAATCAAAACATCTGGAAGAAATCCTGAGTGATCTGGAGAGACAGCATGGTGGGTGCATTTCCCTCCCCCTTCCCCTGGGACTCAGCAGCCGGGGGCTGTCCCTGCAGATCTGGACAGGCCGTGCCTGGCACAGCAGGAAGGGATCCATGGCAGCCTCGCTGCCCCGCTGCTGCTCTCACGGCCTGCAGGGCTGTTTCCCAGCCTGGCCTGGCTGCAGCTTCTCCCCAGCCTCTGCAGGAAGGCATTTGGCACCAGCTGACAGGGAGGCCCAGCTGCACCATGGGCCTGAGATGCCTGCAGTTTCCTACTCTCTGGGGAGATGCAGAGAGGCACCTGTTTGCTGGAGGGTGGAGTTTTGGAGCAGCTCCAAAACTCTGGGCATTTTCCTTGTCTTTATCCACCTCTTTGACAAGTATTGCTGGGAGCAGCACAGCACAGCACAGAGGAATTATTGCATGCAGGCTCAGGGCTTTGGGCACTGAGCAGTCCTGTGCCAAGAGGCAGCAAGGTGCCTGCAGGCCCCAGCTCAGGGGGAAACAGAGAGCGAGAATGTCCTGGCCGTATCCACCCTGCTGCCAGCTCAGCAGTGCAGCATAGCAATGGCTCACGCTCCCCATTGCTCCCAAGATGCAGCTGGCACCTCAACACGTGCTGACAAAATCTGGAAAAGCATGAGAAGAGATTTCTGCCGGGGAACATCTTGTTTGATGAAGTTGATGGTCATTGTGGCTGGTGCAGCACTTGGCCTGATGATGTGCTCTGTCGGAATCTGGTATTGCTGGAAGAGAAAATGGTGAGTGTTTTGCTGATCTCAATCTCAAACAGCTTCCTTTAAAGGCTGCTAAAAATCAGGGAAGATTCCCAGTGAGGCTGCAGTGGAGCTGTGGCCAGTCCATGGCTGTCCAAAGAACTCGGCTGAGGGCTCTGCTCTGCCCAGTGCTTTCCTTGGCCTCTTCATTGCTGAGGCTTGTCCTGCGGGGCCCGCTGGGGCTGCAGCCAGTGCTGGCTCCCACTGAGGCTGCCTGGCCAAGAGCAGCCCCAGGGGCACAGGGCAGAGGCAGAGCAAGGTGGGGAGGAGAAAGAGCAAGGACGAGATTGCCCCTGAAAGGCAGAGGCGCTCTGGGGCCCGCTCCTGGCCAGGGAGCCTGCCCAGAGCCGTCCCCTGCTCGCCGGGGCCTTGAGGGGCAGCTGTCCAGCTGGGCCAAGGTGTGCCAGCCGCTCCAGCCGTGCTGGGGAGCCCTGCCAGCTCTGGGCCCTGCTGTGCAGGAGGCTCCCTGTGTGCCACTGGCAGCTGGGGCCTCAGCCACTGCTCTCTCCCAAGGTGCTGCTGTGCATCTCCAGGAGACGAGCCTAACAACTCCGGCAGAGAGAACTTGACCTGTGTTTCCAGCTCTTCACGTCTGTCCCCATCTGCCCTGCCGCAGCTTCTGGACCATCTTGAGCCATTCCCAAAACAAACCCCTCCACAACGAGACCCTCTGCCCCTGAGCCCCCTGGTCCTGTTCCCCTCCCATGACTGAAGGTGGGCAGGCCCCACCTGCCAGGGCAGGGCTTGGCCCACATTTTATGTTCAAATAAAGTAATAAGAGTTGTCAGAGATATGTCCAGGTGTTTCCAACAGCAAAGCCCACCCGGCACCAGCACTGGCTGAGTTCCATGGCCAGGAGCAGCCATGGATGCCCACGGTGAGGGCAGGCAGGAGCCAGGCAGGGGCTGCTGTGACCAGCGGCGGGGCCCTGAGGGGCTGGGGGAGCCCATGCTGAGCATCCCTGGGCTGAGGGCACATCTCCTTCAGTGGGATCATCTGGGCCTGGGCTTCATGCGGCACACAGGGATATTTTGGGGTCTCTGCTGAGCTGTGCAGGGATCCGTCATGAGGCACACAGGAGTATTTATGGCCTCTCCTAAGGTGTGCAGGGATCCCTCATGAGCTGTGCAGCAGCAGGGTAAACTTGAGGGGTTTTTTCCCTCTTCTCAGCACAGCAAAGGGACACTTGGCGAAGGTTCTGCAAAGCTGGGAGAAAGCCTCTTGCAAACCTTTGGGCTCCGCCTGTTCATGGGGAGGATCCAGAGCCTTGTGCCTCGGCCTGACGGTGCAAAAATCCTCCCAACATCCCTCTGTTTGCAAAAATCAAGGCTTTGTGCTCATTAATAGGAAAAGTTGTACGGGTGGCCTGCAGTCCTCAATGAACTTGGTTCTTCCAGGATGGGGTGTGCAGTGATGATCCCTCAGCTCGTGTGTGCACCTGGTGTGCACCAGGCCAGATACACGACTGTCATCCACAACCAGCCTCTGTCTGCAAAGTGAGCAGGGAGCTGCAGCTCTGAGGAGCTCCAGGGTTAGGGAGCAAACAGACCAAATCCCTAATTTATATCAGTCGCTTCACTTGAGTGTTTTCTGCTGGTAGATTTTTATCTTCCTGCCCAGGGCTGGAAAAAAAGAACCCTGGCAGTTTGCTTTCACTATGAAGTGAAGAGACTCTTCTCAACAGGTTCCAGGGCTGCTTCTTGTTTGAACTAAAAGAAGAGCAAAACTCTTCTTTTGGTCACATCAAACCAACATAAGTTTCATGAGTCTGTGAAAGACATAAGAGTGTAAATATTATTTCATATTATTGTAATTACCGTTTTCTAATTCAGCTGTGGAGTAATTAGGTCATCATTCACTAAATCAAAAAGCTGGAATAAGCTCGGGAAAAATAGGTTTATTTAAAACTAAGATTGTTAAAACTATGTTTTAAAAAAGGGAAGGAATTCCATGAGGAAAACTATGTGGTAAAAATAGAGTAATTTAAACTTCTCAAAGTCCTTTGATAATGGAGCCCTGAACCTCCGTTATGTGCAGTGCAGCCTTCACAGTCCCTTTGAGCCCAGAACTGCCAAGGGTCAGGGCTGGGATGAGCCTTCACCAAAAACTGGCTCCAAGACTGAGCGGGAATCAATCCAGAACAGGGCTCCCACAAAGAGCAAAGACTCATTTGTCATTGGTGTCCTCCAAGGCATTCCCTCAGCTCTGCCTTCCACTCAGGAGCAGGGGCAGGGGGACCACGAGCCTGCAGTGGACCCGCACTGGGATGGAAGGAGCCCCTTGTGGGGCAGTCAGGGGAGAAAGGACTCCCTGGAGCTGCCAGCAGCTCTAAACCCAGCCGCAGACAGGGCCAGGGCTTGACAGCGGCAGCAGGAGCAGCTCAGGCTCCCTGGGGCTGGCAAAGGAGCTGAGAAAGGCTCAGCCCCGGGACACAGCCCTGGGCCCGGCCCATTCCCTCTCTGCTCTTCTCTGGGGCTGCACAGAGCACATGGAAGAACACACTGGCATTGCACATGGGTGGAAGATGGACAGCTAAATGCTCCTTCCTCCCACTGACAGTGATCCTCCTGTGGGATTGATGTTGGGCACAGGAGTAGGAATTTGGAGGACAGGATTTCTAGAATACATCAAACTTCAAAGGATCTTAAAGGAAATCACACATAAATATTCCTCTGGACAATGATTTCTCTGTTAGGAAAGGGTTGCTGATAACCTACCTTCACCAGACTCCAAGATCCTTAAACCGTGCTTTACCAGTCTTTCCAAATGCTGCAGGTCACGGTCCCAATCTAGAAAGGAGCACAGATGGGAAATGGTCCATGATGTGCTGGGATCCCCCTTCTATGAGGAAGTGAGCACTGCAAGGGGCTCAGGTAATGCTGTGAGCCCGCCCTGCCAAGCAGCAGAGAGGGCAGCTCAAGGCTCAGCAGGGCTCAGGCCCAGAGGCACAGCAATTACCTCCTGTGACTGTGCCTGGCAGCGCCTCCCTTCCTGCAGCAGAGGCTGCCAATGAGCCACTGCTTCCTCTGGGAAACTCAGCCTTCAGCACAGCCTCTCCTTCCATCTCTGGGGAAAGGAAAAGAGACAGCTGGATCATTTGGGCTGTTCCCCAGCAGGAAGGTGGCATCTTCAGGAGGCAAAGCTTGTCTCAGTCATGGATGAGATTCAGGATAAAGACCAGGTTACTGGGGCTGCTGCAGGGCCCACCCTCCTCCAAACATCTGCCGTCCAGATGTGCTCAGTGACTGGGAAATTGCAGGGGATCTCAGGGTGTGCATGAGCCATGGTGGAGTTGAGGCACCCTGTCAGCTGGTGCCAAATGCCTTCCTGCAGAGGCTGGGGAGAAGCTGCAGCCAGGCCAGGCTGGGAAACAGCCCTGCAGGCCGTGAGAGCAGCAGCGGGGCAGTGAGGCTGCCATGGATCCCTTCCTGCTGTGCTAGGCAGGGTCTGTCCAGATCTGCAGGGAAAGCCCCCAGCTGCTGAATCCCAGGGGAAGGGGGAGGGGAATGCACCCACCACGGCGTCTCTCCAGATCACTCAGCATTTTCTCTATGTGTTTGTATGTCTCTAGAGCCTTACTGTTTCCTGTAGGTTTGTTCCTCCGTCTCAGAGGACCTTAAGAAGAGTATTTGCATTTCAGATGGATGGATCCCACAAAACCATGGCTCAGCCTGTGGTGTCATCGGGGACACACTACTCACCCCTGCGATGGGAGACGGACTTGTGTTCAGCAACCAGGAAAGGAGCCTGAAATGTCCTCCCTGCAGACGCACCTGCAACTCAATAGCCACAGAAGCTTCTGCCAGCTGGTTCCTGCCAGGTTGTCAGTGATTATTCTTTTAAGAACATTATCAGTATACCTGCACGAGACTTAAGAGGCTGGAAATCTTCATGGAGCCAAGCTGCTGGAGAAGCCTTCCTAGCATGCTCATCTAGAAGGGAGCACAGATTAGAACCAGTTCCTTGTGTGCTGGCATCCCCCTCTGTCTGTGGGAACTTGGCACTGCAAGGGGCTCGGGGAAGGCCATGGGAGCCAGATGTGAAAGGACAAGGCCAAAGCTGCACAGGGGCCTGGGGAGCTCTGGGCTGTCTCTTGGCCGGTCTCCACACTTTGGTAGGCCCTGTGCCACATCCCTGTGAGGGCAGCTGGAGCAGCCCATGGGCCACGGGATTTCACTCCCTCCCACAGAGGAAACCCTCCTTAAATCCCAGGGGAAAACCATCCCCAGCACTTCCCCGGAGAGCAGGGAGCGCTGTCCTGGGAAAGGGGAGCCAGGCTGCCGGCTCACCTGCTCCCTGCACTTGCAATGGAGCAGCCTGGGCAGCCCTGGCAGGCAGGGCCACGGCCAGGAGGAGCAGGAGGAGGAGGCGCAGAGCAAGGGCCATGGTGCCTTGCCCTGTGCCAGTCCCGCCGCTCTTGCTGCCACCACTGTCCTGACACCGCTGTCCCAATGTCAGCACCACTGCTGCCACCGCCGCTGCTGCCGCAGCAGTTGTGCTCAAGGACTGCCTGCTCGGGCGTTGTGGTGCTCTGCAACCACGGAGCTCTGGGACCTCTGTGACCTCAGAGCCTGCTGTGACCTCAGCCTGCTGCGACCCCAGAGCCTGCTGGGACCTCATGGCCTTAGCTGTACCCCAGAGTGTACCCCCTTTCTGTACAAATGGACTGCCCTGACTGTAAATATTTTGCTTCATCCAAGAGCCATTGCTCAGCAAAACCTTTATTTTGCCTGCTGACATTGCTGGTCAGACTGTGTCCCTGCAGATACTCTTGATTGTTGCAGTACAAATTTCATTTATTGTTTCCTTCTTAGGTGCTTCGTTCTGTTGTACCCCCATGTTCTCCCCGAGTTTGTTCGCCCCTGGCTTTTACCCTCCCTCAAAGCTGACCCCCATGCCATTCCCCGCCCCTTGTTCCAGCTCTTTCCCTGCCTGTCATAGCAACCCAGCCCCTTGGTCCCCGAACCTTCCCTGGCACTTTCCCATTGGGCCAATCCCAGATTGCAACACCTTTTTGGGATGCCCCAATTCCTCAAGGCCCCATTGGCCCGTGTGACCCATCCTCTCCACCCTCCTACCCCAATGGGCTCCAGACACTGGATGTGATCCCCTCACTCCTCCCCTGAGAATTCCCTCTTGGTGAGCTGTTTGTATGCACCCCTTGACTTGTATCTTGCACAGGAGTGCCGTGGGCTCTCTGTTTCTGCTCTCTTCACCTGAAATAAACTCTTTCTTGTGGAACCTCAAGATGGAGAGCTGCCTCCTCTCTCCTCTGCCCGGTCCCTGTGGTGGCTTGTGTCTGGCACCTTAGAGCAAGTGGCTCTAAAGGTTCTGCCTCTGGTAAATGCCCATAGCGAGGCAGTTCCCCACTCCTGGTGTGGCGCCAGAGTTCTGAGAGCTAGACTGAGTTCTGGTAGTGACTTCACCAACCTACGGAACGTCCCTTCTTCAGTGCCTGCTCTGGTGCCCTGCCATTTCACACACCAGAGCGTGATTCACATACTGCAGCCCAGAGTTCGGTTTTTGCAACATTGAAATGGGTGTGGTCAGCAGGATTGCTGGGGATAAATCGCTGCAGAACTAAACAAAATGTGTGCACCATCCCAGGCTGGACTTAAATAGGCACAGGAATTTTGGAAAGATGAGGACAAGATAGCAGACAACAATGTAAAAGTCAGATTAAAATAACAGGAGGAAAAGCTAAAGGAGTGATTTCTGCACATTTGGGTTTTTTATTTTTTGGGTGCAAAGCAAAATTAGAAGGTCCTAAGTGCCCAAAAGATTGGAAATG